AAGCACAGCGGACGGTGAACCGCTAACCCAGGCTGCTCTATTTGGCCGATTCACTCTGATCATTAATCAATTTAAATATTTAAACACCTACGAGAGGAAAAATGTTTAGAATTCAGACCCGTGCAAGCAAAATGTGGACCCCCATTAGTCTGTTTTAAACTCCTCAATAACGGCGATCTTTAGAATGTAACAGATGGAAAACAGCAGAATCCCATCAGGAGCAGAAGCAGGATCCACACGGACTAATTCAACAAACCCTGAACAAAACAGCATCAGGATACAGTACATGAGAGATGATGATGCAGTAAAACACAGTTAGCAACTACACTACAGCTTCACAAGAGCACAAGAGCACAGGAGCGCTGACCTTGACATTGAAAACCTCACAGAGAGACTGAGAAATTGCCTGAAGTGTTGAGATTTCTATCTACTAAACTGCCCCAGACGAGCAGCTGCTGATTGACTGCAAACTCTCTCTCTCTCTCTGTGTGTGTGTGTGTGAAATAGGTTGTGTACATTGTTTGCATCCAAATGTTTCAGAATAGAAAACCTGAACTCACCAGCAGCTAACAGCCACAACAATAACACAACATCTTCATGAAAACCTACAAACGCAGGAGGTTTTTATACACGTGCATTTAGCATCTTCATTTTCATCCATCCATCTATCTACATATAAAAACACAACAAAATGTTAAAACTATGAAAATAACACTGCAAAATCACATGTAATTGAATCAGATTTACAAATGACTATTCACTCTAAATATACACCTGTAAATCTGATTATTTTTTTGGATGTGATTCGAACACAATCAGAGTTTTATTTACAGGCTTCACACTGAGATGTCCAGACGAGTATTTTGGGTGTGTTTTTCGAACATGTCTGTCTGATTACATTGACGCATCTGACTGATCATTAACCTTAATCTGAGACTGTATCTGGTTTCATCTCAACCTCTAAAAGCAGAATCTGCTTTAATGCAGCTGTTGAATTCACTTCATCATGCACTACTATTCATTTCCCAAACCAACTAGTCGACTGGTCTGGACAGGTCAGGAGAGACGTACAGGAGTGAGAGGAATCACGAGGGCAGACGGGAGGTAAAGAGCTGCAGTGAGACGCGGATACTGAGAGTCAATGAAGAATCATTCCTGCAGGACGAGAGATTAAACTGGAGCAGCACTTATGAGAAAATGACCATATAAGGCAACAAACGTCAGCAATTGACACGCCTTCAAATGCATCTCGACCAATCAGAATGAAGAGTCTGTTTTCTAATATTAGTTTGATGGGTTCGGGTCTTTAGTTTTGCACTCAAGTGTTCATAATGTGAATCTGCATCAAGATCATTGATAACTATCGTTACAGTTATTCTTACAGTTATTGTTATACTTATTGCTATACTCACTGTCACTATAGTTATTCTTTTTGCTACAGTTGTGGCTATTATTATTGTTATTATTGTTATAGTTATTGTTATGATTATTGTCGTTATAGTTATTGCTATTGATATAGTTATAGTTAAGGAATCTGTTATTATCATTATTGTTATTGTTATGGTTATTGTCGTAATAGTTATTGCTATTGATATAGTTATAGTTAAGGTTATTGTTATTATCAATATTGTTATAGTTATAGTTATAGTTATAGTTATGGTTATTGTCGTTATAGTTATTGCTATTGATATAGTTAAGGATATTGTTATTATCAATATTGTTATAGTTATGGTTATTGTCGTTATAGTTATTCCTATCGATACATATAATTATAGTTAAGGATATTGTAATTATCATTGTTGTTGTTATTGCTATTGTCAGCGTTATAGTTATTGTTATTATCATTATTGTTACCAAACGCAGCCGAGCGTGACGTCTGTGAGGATCACGTCACATGAAGAATGAAAGTGATCTTCAAACCCTTTCAATAAGACATCCGGCGATATGAAGGCTCATTTTCACATTCGCCCGCTTCTCCTCTGTTTGCTCCTCTCACACACAGACACTCGGAGGGATCCGACACCCTTCAGGAACTTGCTAGTCTGTCTGGGCTGAATTGGGTAAACTGGATTAGGAAATCAGGGTCACACACACACCACCGAAAAACCGCCGGAAATCCTATTTACGCCTCGATTCCCTCCGTATGTGAATCACACAGTGACTTTCTGCAAAGTCAGCTTTAGAGAAGGATCCTCTGCCTGTGATGAATGAGGTCAGCATGGGATCATAATGGACCTTGGCTGCATTTCCCAAAAGCTTCGTAAACCTAAGAAGTTCGTAAAAACGATTGTACGACTGATCTTACCGTCTGTTTCCCAAAAGCATCATAACTTAGGTAGCACTTGAAAATCATCGTAGATCTACGAGTGCTCTGGAGTAATCGTAAAGCCTTAAGTGCATCGTAAGAAGACAGATTTATGCGGTCACCTGCTGGACAATCGGCAGATTACACCTTTAACTTTAGTCAAGTGCAATGGGATTATAATATAAGGATTTGATTGTACTTTATTGTACACTTTATTACTTTATTATTAATTTATAAAAAATAGAAATACACACCTAAATTAAATGACTGAACAAAAAAAATAAATAAATAAAATATGTAGGAAATATGCTTCAAAGACTGGGAAAAACATCTGTCAATGACTTGCTGACGTGCACGAAAACCAGCCATGTATTGTACCCGGAAATAACGTCTATGTAATATAATACACTATAATATAATATAATATTGTATTATAGTTATTATATCCGAGTTGTCTGGAATGCAAGATCTATGAGTGCTCTGGAGTAATCGTAAAGCCTTAAGTGCATCGTAAGAAGACAGATTTATGCGGTCACCTGCTGGACAATCGGCAGATTACACCTTTAACTTTAGTCAAGTGCAATGGGATTATAATATAAGGATTTGATTGTACTTTATTGTACACTTTATTACTTTATTATTAATTTATAAAAAATAGAAATACACACCTAAATTAAATGACTGAACAAAAAAAATAAATAAATAAAATATGTAGGAAATATGCTTCAAAGACTGGGAAAAACATCTGTCAATGACTTGCTGACGTGCACGAAAACCAGCCATGTATTGTACCCGGAAATAACGTCTATGTAATATAATACACTATAATATAATATAATATTGTATTATAGTTATTATATCCGAGTTGTCTGGAATGCAGCATTAGGTTAACATTTCAATAAACGAGTGTGTAGTAGGCTACTACAATTACGAGCCATTCTATGAGGTGACATTTCAGCACTTGACAAACGGATAGCGACTCCTAAGTATCACTTAAAGTACGGCTACGTGCGATCGCGTTAAGTGCATTTTTGGGAAACGCACGAGAAACAATAACGAACGATCGTAAATTGACTCGTAGAAAACGCTCTTAAGCGCTAAGATCAATGGCTATCGAGAAACACAGCCCAGCTCAGTCCGTCACTATGGCGACTGCAGCTCTGTGTTAATTTCGTTAATGAAAAATGTTCGTTGATGAGATTTTTTCCCATGACTAAGACGAGACGACAATAAGGTCAATAAATGATAACTGTGATTATATCAACATGCAATATCGTTGACGATAAAAGACGAGACTAAAATTTATTTTAACGAATAAAAACTATACCAAAATATATTTTTATTTTCGTCGAAAAAAAATTGACAAAATATTATTGCGGACTGCTGTACATGCCTCTACTGCACGAGCTTTCATGTGTGCGGTTGCCAGATATCAAGAGTTCTTCTCTGATAAAAGGATGCATTTTCTGCCGGGTGTTTTGCAATCTGGCAACCATGCGCACGCGCTCACTCTTCATTGCGGAAATGTTTAGCGATCTCCATGTGAGACGTTCAGCTTAAATGAAAGTATCATTAAGTCTGTTTGTGCTCTGTAATTTTGATGAATGTGTTACACTTACTCAACCGCTGTTGTTTTAATAGAGTAACATTACTGCAGTTTGGAATTACTATTAGGAATTTTACTGTTCAAATAATTTTTGTTTGTTTTTCCCAGTTTTCATAATGCAGACAGAGAGAGTGCATATCTAAGTATTTGATATTCATTTAAATATTAAATAGCCTGTAATAAATCAGTACACTAGATGAGGTCAAATAAAGTCCACATTCTATTGATTTGTGCTTATTGGTGAAAGTGCAATACCTGAAATGTGAAAATAAATTTCTCAAATGAGAACAATCTTTTCGATTATAATTTTGAGAAATATATATATATCAGTTTAACTATTATACAGCATGATGAAAATGTGACGAAAAGTTTTCATTGACTAAAACTAGACTAAACAAAAACAGGACAAGCTTGACTAAATATGATAACTTAAAATGACTTCATTATTTAAAGCGACAGACAACAAAACGGTATTGTTACTGTTATTGCTATCTTTAGTTATCATTGTTGCTGTAGTTGTTGTTATAGTTATAGTTTTTGTTAATGTTATTGTTATAGTTATCATAATAGCTATCATTATTGTTAAAGTTATGGTTATAGTTATAGCTATCATCATCATTATCACTGCAGTTATATATTATAGTTATCATTATCGTTAAAGTTATGGTTATAGTCATGGTTATAGTTATCGTTATCACTATTGTTGCAATTATAGTATCTATTGTTATATTTACGGTTATAGTTATTGCTGTTGTTAATATTACTGTTATTGTTATCGCTATAGTTATAGTTGTTGTTACCATTATTGTTGAAGTTATAGTTATTTGATATTATTATATTTATCTTTAGAGTTATAGGTATAGTTATAGTTCTCGCTATTGTTCTAGTTATGGTTCTAGTTATCGTTATCACAGTTGTTGCAAATGTAGTTATATTTACAGCTATAGTTACCATTATAGTTATGGATCTAGTAATCGTTAACACTCGTTATAATTAAATTAATATTCATAGCTATAGTTATCGTTACAGTTATGGTTCTTGGTGTGAATGTGAAATGATTGAATGCAGTGGCTCACGTGTGTTGCTGGG